AACTATATTATGAGTCTTTCTTCGCAGAAGTTTCCTTTAAGCGCCTTTATTCGTGTCTAGTGACGATATGATATGTGGAAAATCATCTCCATGCATCTAATCCAGGCATGTAATGTTGTTAATCCGTAATACTAGCTTCAACTCTTTCCCCCATAGATCGCAGTCCTTTCAAATATGCTTCATATATGTGCTCAAATCCGTATTCTCTCGAAAGTGTAGTGTTTTTGCGCCTTTCATTTGGTTCTGAAGAAATTGTATAGGAGGTATACGGTCTTCCTCGCTTTCCAGAAAATGTAGAAGCCATAGAGAAAGCTGCATCGTCTTCAGTCATGGAAACCGGCAAACTTGCCGAATGCTCTCCATCAAGCCAATCGCTATTTTCTTTAAGAAATCGATCCTTTTCGCGTTGAGCCTTAATCCAACGCGTATTACATTGCCATAATAACTTTTTTCTTTAAAATCATTAATTACAAATTCTGCGTTGACTTCCGAAACTTGATATTTTTTCCCTTAAAAAAGTGGATAAGGCCGACTCATTTCTTCAGTTCTCTATATAAAAAGCAATAGCAGACGTTTTGGAAACTTTAAAGAACTCATTGCTTCAAATTTATTGCTTCTCGAAAACAAGCTTCTTTATTCTAAATATGTAGTTCCGAACTTTTGGGGAATACGCAGTAAACTGCCCGTATCAGCATGTAGATGTTTCTTAACCATTGTGAATTGCAGGTACCAATACTAATTTTACACAGTTACAGTACCTAGCAGGCAATCGGACATATTTTTTCTCAAAAACGAGCGCCCCTATTCTAGATGTATTCCTTACCCATTGTGGGTACTGGATTGTGGAAAATTAGTATTGGTACCTGCAATTCACAATAGTTAAGAAACATCTGCATGCTGATACGGGCAGTTTAATGCGTATTCCCCAAAAGTTCGGTGTGAATTGCAGGTATCAATACTAACTTTGGGCAGTTGGAGGACCTAGCAGGTAATCGTACATACTTATATTGTGTGGTCAAGTATATCCTTAAAAGTAGGAAATCTAATAAAAATCGTATTTCTTGGTAATTCCGTATGCATGGTGAAAGGTAATTTTTTCTAAAAATTATTAGAATCTTACAAATTAAACATCATGTAACAGGTGCGGTTGTCTAGTTTTCGAATATATAAATTGTTTTTTGTTAGGTTTGAAGATTTATTATTTATAGGGTTAAAAGCCCAGTAATACTAGTAGCGGCTGAAATCCCGAATCTCACGTAGTGCCACTTAAAACATCATAACTTCAAATGGCACAAACTTAAACATTTTTCCGTGTAGTAGGCGGATTTTTCGTGCCTTTAATGAATTCAAATTCAAAACATAACCAAGCGGCGAAAACCTTCGAAACTTTCATCGAAATTTAAAAAATCGAAACAACATTTTCCTTTTATTACAGAAGCTATTGCTGCAACCTGTTATTTCATAGTAAAATATTTATAGCTAATTTTAAATCTGAATATAACATGTAGCTTAAGTCCGTTTTTCTTAATAGGTCCTTGCTAGGAAAAAAATTCCTAAACTGCGGATCTGAAATTACTGCGTTGCGAGTAAAAATTTCAACAATTTGAATATGTCAACTTCTTAAGCAATTTTCACTCTATTTCATTAAATAAACATACAAAAAATCTTTAGAACATTAAAGCACGCTTTATTCCCTAAAGAATGATACACCACGCCCACCTCCCATATAACGGTATTTTCGAAATATGCAAAAACTACGATATTTCCGCAATTACCGGATCCAAATTGCTGAAAGTTGGTATGCGAAGTAGAATTTTAGCACAAAACAAGAAAGTTATGAAATATATTATAATGAAATGCAGTATCTCTGTGGTCCCTTCACCAATCCCAACCAAACTCGGTGCAAACACTGGTTACGGCCTGACTTGAAAATTTTTTGAAATCAGACAGGAACCACGCCCACCTCCCATATAACGGTAATTTACAGAAATACGAAAACTTCGACAAATTAGTAATTATTTAGCTCTTAACAGAAAATGATTTTTAGGGAAATTTTTGGAAAATGGGCGTGGAACCGCCCACTTACGCCTACATACATATGTGTATCTCGGTAACCGGTTTATTAGTTTCTACCAAACTCGGCACATTTATCAATCTTGGCGCAAAAAAGCAGTATGTTGAACATTTTTTAAATCGGGCCAAAATTACTGCCTTTCATTATATAAAGGTAAATTTTGAGAAATACGAAAACTCCGATTTTTCAATAACTAAAGACGCTAGCTTACAAAAATTTCTTAACAAGACACAAGATTATTGATTTTTGTAAAATGGGCGTGGCACCACCCACTTATGACTACATAAGTGTGTATCGATAACCGCCTTAGCGACTTCCACCAAACTTGGTCCAACTATTTCAATATATTATAGCATATTATCGAAACTGTTTAACATCGGAAAAATAATATTGCAGTTTACTGAAAGGTGAAAAAACGATATTTATTACGTGCGCCGGGTGTGTAAAAGTTTGGTTTCGCCTGCATAAGTCAAGAGCAGTTCGTTCTTTTATGATAAAAAAAATTCAAAATTTGAGCGTTTCAGACAAATCATCATCAATCATCGAGCTCCACGAGTTTTGCCACAAAATAACATTGCATATAATATCAGAAATAACTTCAAAATCTTTAGAAATAATTGTGGTATGCAGTTTTGTTGCCCATTAGATTCCCAGTCGGAAAAGTAGTAATGCATTACATGCGTGTTAAGTAATATAATGTATTTCTTATGAGTTCTCGATTATATTACTGCTAACTATGTAATCAGCATTCTAATTTATTCAAAAAATTCCAAAAATTTCATATTGAAACACATTAATTTCTCGATACTAGGTAATGCAAAACTGAATGCCCCACTTTTCTTAGGACATCGCCCTGGGGAAAAAATGCTTTTTCGAATGTAAAAAGGGTCGTTTTACTGATTATCTTTTCGATTACTATACATTACACTTTCCCACTAGGTTGTAGTGCTGGTTTCAGCTGGTAAGAAATTCCGTTGATTTTTGGCAATTTTTTTTGATAGCAGTGCCTGAAATATAAAAGAAAATTGTGGAACATTCTTTATATAGAAAAAAATGTGAAACTCCTTCAACCAAAAAAATAACCAAAATCAATGGGATTTTTTACCAATTTGAAGCTTGAACTTCATTATATGTATGTGCTACAATCTAATGGGCTACAGAACTGCATATCAAAATTCTAAGTACCTAATCTAAGTATTCTGATTAAAAAGCTTGGATTTTTGGTGAAATTTTGCAGAATTTTATAATTTTTGAACAAAGTTTAAAATGCGAATTTTTATGGTGTTTGTTCTATGAGCAGCTAGACAATTATAAAAACACAGCAAACTTTAAATTAACAAAGACAAATAGTCAAAACTGATAAAAATATTATTTTGTGGGCATCTAAAAGTGACGTTATGTATTATGTATGTACGTAGATTTTAATTTCGCTAGCTACATTTCGGAATTTCCGACGTGGGCAAATTTCGAACATTGTACTTTGCTATACCTTAGCTTTAAGGCAACTCTTAAGACAATAAGTTCCGCCAACCTCTTCTGATATCCTTGTGGTGTACATTTCGAATGGTGAACCACCATAAAAGTAACAAGTGATTGAGCAACAAGTGCCATACGAATCCATGTCTGCCAGGGTAGCCAACTCGTGGGGAATTCCCCGATTTGCGGGGAATTTCAGTTTGCGTGTGAAATCGGAGAATGGACCGTTTTTTGTGGGGAATTCTAGTATAACAAAGTTTCCAATGGCTAAAAATTACCGTTGATTTTTTAGAGTTTTCTTTGCATTTGCTTTCAAATAGCGAATGAACATAATTTATTTTTATGTGGAATAAAACAACGCAACAACTTAGGAAAAAATCCTAAAACGGAAATTTTCAGCCATTTGAAACTATTATTCTAGAATTGAGTTGGCTACAAAACTGCATACTCAAAATATTTATAGAAACTCCAATTAAACAGCTCGAAATTTTTACGAAAGTTTGTTGAATTTTTCTCAAATCTTGCACAAAGTCTGAAACTTGGATTTATATGGTTTTTGTTAAAGAATAAACATAAATATATATATATAAATAATATTATTATAAAAAAATAACTCAAATTAAATAACAAAAAAATAATAATAATTGGCGCGACCGCTGTATGTATGTAAATATTATCTCTGTACATAAATATTTTTAATTCTTTATTTGTTAAAAACCTTTATAAAAGTTTGGTTTGGTTTATTAATACATAGATTAAAAAAAAGACCAGTAATATATCAAAATACATAATTTTTTTTTTTTGTAAGTAAGGAGATATCTGGGTGGGGAATTTTACGAAATTTCGAGCAAAATTGGAGAATTTCATTGTCGAAAACAGGGGAATTCTCAAAAATGAGTTGGCTACCCTGATGTCTGCCCAAAGCAATTGTACGCACACGTCTTGCACTGTTCTATACCCATAGTAGTACATATGTAGCTTTATCTATATGCTTGGCCTTTGATAAGCAATGAAACATTGGATAATTTCTTCTGCGATTCTGCTACACCACTCTTGCTAACCAGCTTTTCTTCTCTTGCAGTGCAGTTTTTCTTTCTTCTCGCCTCGCTCATGGCACCTTCGTTCGTTAATTTACTGGAGGTTTTACGAATTTAACGGCGGGTGTAATCAATATTAACCTGCCTATACATATGTACATAAGCAGATACCCCTGTATATATTTATGTATATATGTATGTAAGTATGTACATATGAGTGTGCATTTGGATTTATATACATACTTCCAATATTTTCATAAAATTACGATTGTAAAACGGTTTGCGCTTAGACACGATGCTTACCAAATAATTTTTTGGAAATTTTCTTTAAATACTCGTATTATCACCTTTCACCAGTACTTTTGCACATGCAAACAATAAACGCGAAGATGCATTTTACTCAGCTTCTGTTATTTTATTAAGGCCCGCAGCACAAACTCAAAAGATGCTCCCGCTTAACTAAATACATTCGTAACGCGATGTTTTCAGCTACGCTGTCATAGTGAAACTATATTTTTTGCTCAGATCTGCCATTTACTTGAATGCGAAAGCGCCTATCAACAGATGTATTCAAGCTTTATTCATAATAACAGGATGTTATCGTCTGGAAGCTCTGAAGTCCGTCTTTGTTTAGCAAACTTTCTCACCTTAGTAAGCTTTATGTAACTTTAAAGCTTTATTTAGCAAATAAATATAGATACGTGCAAATAAAGAGAAACGCGTAAATTAATCATACACAATATAATCACAGTGAAATCGTTAAAATTGGGTACCTTATAATTAGGATATCTGTACAACCTACATCTGTGCCTACAATAGCAGTAACAAAAATATCCAGCTGAACTCAACACTAGGGATCAAACGATACTCGATACTTTTGCTGCGATACCAAGTATTTTTTCACTCGATGCTTTTCAATCCGATACCAAGTAAGTATCGATACTTTTCTTTCGATACATTGAGAACCCTCCTGAAAACTTTTTTGATTTTAAACGCAACTTGCACAATTGAAATGTCGTTTAGCACACTAACCGCCCTATTCCCACAACACTGACAAAATTCATCATATGACTATTGTCACAATTACTGCGCCTAAAACACAATATAAACATTGTTTCGCCGTTGTCACTTATTCAATAGGTCATAACAATAAAACTGACAATTGTCATATGATAGCTTAAAATAAATTTGCGGCATAGAATTAGGCGCAATAGTAAAGGCAATAGTCAGCCGCTGAGTTTTGTCAGTGGTGTGGGAATAGGGCGGTAAGGGCCGTTTTCACAAGTTGGTTGCATTAAAATTTATGATTGGGCGCGTTCATAAGACGTAGCTGTTTAGCTCAATAGCTACGAAACTGCTGGCAACTGTTGGACCCAACAATTACGTCTTAGAAACGGCTTGATGAATATGCTGTCAAATAAACAGCTGATAAATGTAAACAAATGAAATTGCAATAAATAGAGATAATTGCGCCGATGGTACTTAGATCTCAACGCTGAGCTGCCGCCGTTTAGAAAAAATCGTTCAATGTTATAATGAATTAAACAGTGTATTTTATTTTATGTTTGTAGGCTAGTCTGATCTTTTCAGTTCTGGTGAGAATAAAACTACTTCATTCCACTTTTCACCCGACGTTTCGCTAAAACTTTTTTAGCATCCTCAGGGGTAGTGTTTATTTTATCTGTTACAACAAATATACAAGAATACAAAAAAACACACACATTAAGTATTAACCGAAAAAACAAAAATGTATACATATATAACAACAAATTGAATTTAATGGCAAACCAACTCACATTGTTTAGATATTCAAACATAGATATGTATAAGTATAAATACTTAATCACTAAAAAAGAAAATATATCCATACCACTTGATGTGGTAGTTTTGTCAGTACTGAAAATTTCATTTTTGTAAACAAGTTATGTATGCTGCCGCAATGTTGTCTGTATCTTCCTTCTTATTAATTGTCATTTCTCGTTTTTGCATAATTCTAGTATATAATTATATAGCAAACATCTTAAAAAATATATTTATAAACGTGGTATTATTATAAAATATTTTAGTTACTTAATCACATCAGTAATATAAAATATAATAAATTTGTTTGCAACTGCCTCCTGATAAAGCGGCGTTGAATTTAATATAAGCGACGTAAATATTTTCGATCAGTGTTTATGCTAAGCCCAACACGTTGAGTTCAGGTAGCGTACTAATTTTCCGCTAGTAAAAATGGCGGACAGTTGCCAACTGTTGAGCTGAGCGGAACTACTCAACTGTGCGTTTCTAAGACAAATATCCAACGGTGAGGCAACAGCTACGTCTTATAAACGCGCCCATTGTGTCTAAAGTAAAGCATTTTATTATTATACCTTTCATGAGCATGAAATGGTATTATAACTTTGGTCCGATGTTTGTAAGTACCAGAACAAAAAGAGATAGACCCATGAAAATGTATACTTATATGATCAGAACGTCGAGCTGAGTTGATTTAGCCATGTCCGTCTGTCCGTCTGTCCGTCTGTCCGTCTGTCCGTCTGTCTGTCTGTTTGTATGCAATCTAGTCTCTCAGTTTTCGAGATATCCGGATGAAATTTGGTAGGTGGGTGTATTTTTATAATGTATTAATCATTTGTCGGAACCGGAAGAATCGGACCACTATAACATATAGCTCCCATACAACTGATTGTTCAGATATGAGATTTTTCATTATAACTTCTCCATTTATGTAGTTAAGAACAAGAAATTTCGCAGCACTTTCACCCATTATCAACAGAATACTTATAGTGAAAATTACAAAGATCGGGTCACTATAACCTATAGCTCCCATACAACGGATTGTTCAGATATAAAATTTTGCGTTATAACTCCTCCATTTATATAGCTAGGAACATGAAATTCCGCACTGTTTTCAATAATTATCTACAGAAAACTTACAGTGAAAATTAAAAAGATCGGGTAACTATAACCTATAGCTCCCATACAACTGATTGTTCAGATATGAGATTTTTCGTTATAATTCATCCATTTATGTAGCTAGGACCATGAAATTTCGCGCTGTTTTCACTCATTATCAACAGAAGACTTACCTCGAAAATAATAAAGATCGGGTCACTATAACCTGCAGCCCCCATACAACTGATTGTTCAGATATGAGGTCTTTTATCATAACTCCTCCATTTATGCAGCTAGGAACATGAAGTTTCGCACCATTTTCACTCATTATTAACAGAATACTTACAGTGAAAATAACAAGGATCGGATGACTACAACATATATCTTCCAAACATCAGATTGTTCAGATATGGGATTTTACTGTAAAACTTCTTTATTTGAACAGCTAAAACCGATAAATTTCGTAAGATATTTTATAAATAATAATACAAAGTCTACTGAGAAAATCGTCAAAATCTATGCTGTATAAGCTTTATCTCCTATAGCACTGATTGTTCAGATACCAGTTTTTGCGATATATCTCCTTTATGTAGGAAACTAAACCCAATAAATTGTGTTACCGGTTTACATACCGATCACATAGCGGTGAAAATCACTTAGATTGGTGTCATATAAAGTATATCTTCCATACCTCTGATTGTTTAGATGCGATTTTTAATATAAGTATGTAACTCCTCTATCGATGTATGCAGATGTATTCAAAAGCAGTAATCTGTCAAAGTAAAATTTGCAGATGTTCATGAAAGGTATGAAGCCTTCGGCATAGCCGAAGACAGCGCTGCTCTTACTTGTTTTAAATTGGTTTATAACCAAGAAACATACATACGTCAAAAACCGATAATAGAAATGCTTAACTTTAAACATAGCTTTCTTTTTAATCCAACCTTTAAATATAAAGTGAGATTTGAAGTTAAAGGCTACATCAGTAAACGGCCCTAAGAAGGGTAAAGTCTTGGCTGCGCTCCACAATGAGAGAAACTCGACTTATCAGTAATCATTTACATACATATATGTATATGTATATAATTGCTCAGTCATACGACTTATACCTTGGTTATAATGCACGGGGCGAACCGTAACAAATCGCGGCGAATTCGTAAGGATCTATTGATTTTAGATGCTTCCGTTTTACGTTACGGTCAAGTGCATTATAATCGTTCGAATTCATTGCCCATACAATAGATAATTAAGTGACAGTTCACTCCGTTCCGTTACTTCTATTATAATCCAGGCAGTTGACTGTGTTTGTCACAAAAGTATAAAGTCCCTGCAGTGAAAAATTATCAATTGTTAAAACTAACCAACTTATAATTAGCTTTTTGGCGAGATTTCGATTAATACCTCACTTTTAATTAGCTATGACAAAACCAACTTAAAGTGAATTGTAAAGTCGTGCAGGAGTCATGCAGACGCAATCGGGAGTTGGTTTTCTTTACAAGTTTCTATTAAATATCCTCATACAAAAATTACTTTCAATACACTTTTTTTCTGAACTTCGCAGATTCTTTTTCATATTCAGGACAAATAAAAGGAAGATCGAAATTTTATACTATCATTTTGAAGTTATGTCTGACGGTGTTCGAATATGGGGCCACCCAGAGCAGAATATGTAAACAAATATGAAATGTAATAAAATAAAATAAATAAATAAGTAAATAAAAAAGTAAAAAAACAAAAAAATATTTTGTTTTTCTTATTGATCTTTTATGTCCAAAAGTAGTTAGTTACAAGTTAGTTGACATGTAATGCAGAGGTATCCAGGTCTGACTTTTTTGCGGCCATCGCCCCACAAAAGTAGTTAGCTTTTTTCGAACAAAATACACAGTTAATAGTTAGCACTAGTGTTCGCGTAAACAGACTAAAGTTAGGTATAAGCTAACGTCACTCCCTGCAGGGGTGGCAGAAAATTCGATAGTGAGCAATATAATCAACACCCGTATCTTTCGCATCGTTACTTTACTGTTACTTTTGATACAAGCACTTGTACCTCACACGAATCATCGCAACGAATCTTGCAGCGTAAGGAGTGTTCGTTCGTACATATGCATACATGTACATATATACATATGTATACACGCAACATACTTTTGTATCGATTCGAACAATTTGGTACAATCAAGCACTTGTACCTCACAGGGTTCATCGCAACGAATCTTCTAGCATAAGGAAATGTTCGTTCGCACGCAACACACTTTAGTATCGATACGAACAACAGTTTCGTTCCCGCACTATATATTCGGTTCTTTCCCTAACAATCCGGACCGGATCCGCTAATTAGAGAATAAGCGAAAAGTTTGCTCTCAAAATTGGAACATAATCCAGAAGTACGGGAACGCAAAACACCAAGGTTTATATATAAGAGGTTGCGCAGTGCGCAGGTCCGTTATTCTTCTCCCAAAGGCAACAACAGCGAAAACAATAAGCAGCGTAAAAATCATAAAATTGAAGTGCAGAAAAGCGATTTCAAACGAATTGTAAAAAAAATTCAAAAATACAATTTAAGTTAATTTTAACCAAGATTTTACTCATGCCTTTATGCCGAAAAAGCCACGAAACCTGATTTTTCACAGCGATCAATTTTTGCGAAATTTTTATTTAAACTCGCTATATCTCAGACGTTTATGTTTGAAAATTGTACACAATAAACTAGATACTATTATAAAGAAGATGAGTCTAACTACACTTCTTAATACTTATTAAAAACAAAATGGCGGATATTCTAACTTTTTTATAAAAATTAAGGAGGTGAGTTTTAGGAATGCAAAAGTTGTGGTATGAAGTTTAAAATTTTTGTTTTGTTTTAATGCAGCATTATAGACAAATATATACGGAAATTTTTGGGAAAGTTTCATATTTAGACAACAAGTAGTTCTAAAGTTATAACAATATTATGGTGACAACCCCGAGCGGGCGCTCGAAACTAGGTAACAAATATTTTTACATAGCACTTGCATAAATAATTTTGGAAGTAATGTTAAGTGAAATATTGCAATTCATAAATTTATCAGTGTTATATAACTTATTAAAGTTCTTTGTTATAAACTTAAAACACATATGTACTTACATACCTACCTGCATCAGAACTGGAACGTACGGTGGAGCGTAGGCTTAACCGC